TTTTTTTTTTTTTTTTTTTTTTTTTTTTTTTTTTTTTTCCCCCCCCCCCCCCCCCCTTTTTTTTTAAATAACAGAGGGAGACCATTGCTGACAAAACATCCCGAACAGGTTCCTGCAAGGCCATGGAGGTGGTGTCCTCCCTGAAGAGCCAGGCAGGTAATGTGGCCATGCCTCCTGTGGGCTCTGGCAGGTGCCCTGGGCTGGGGGCGGGGACAGGACATCCTGAGTCAGTCCTGGCGGGATGTGGCCGGAGGCTGGGCTGGGGAGGGACTGGGAGTCTTCAGGGGAATCAGATCCACGGTGAGGCTGGCCAGGTGCCGGGGAGGCCCTATGCACGTGAAAAGCAAACCCTTTTGATGATCAGTGTTTTAAGGACTCAGCTAGGTTTTATTGATGTTACGTTTCTGACTTTTGCGTGGCCATATTGTTTTCAAAGCAAAATTGTGCTAGAGAAGTGATTCAAACCAGAGCTGTCGGGTCTCCCACACGATGTGATCCTCCATGTGTGTGTGAGCGGACGTCAGAGATGACTTGAAACGAATTTAAAACATTTGTGCAAAGTAACTGTCGGAACAGGGAAAGGTGGACGGACTCATCAGTCATCTTCTGATGGGTCTGTGTGGTTTATATAAAAGTTTTATTGAATGATTGATTGATTTTAGAGAGAGGAACTGGAAGAGAAAGATTTGTTGTTCCACTTATTGATGCATCCATTGGCTGCTGCTTGTATGTGTTCTGACCAGGGTCCAACCCACAACCTTGACGTATGGGGACGATGCTCTAACCTACTGAGCCACCCAGCCAAGGCTTGTCTGGTTGTTTATTAAAAGAATTTCCATCTCCAGCTCTTAGTTAGGAAGGAAAACAAAATATAGGAAGAAGTAGTAAGTGAAGGTGGCAAATCGCTCTGGCTCCCCTTCTGTGCCTGAGGTGCTGCCCTGGTTTACGGTCAGTGAAGCAGCCTCTTGAGAAGCATGTGTGAGCACTGGGCACTGAGTGGGCATCTGATGATGTAGAGGGCTTGCTACTGTTCCTGTGATCATAGGACTGTGGTCATGCTTAAACCTTGTGTTTCAGAGACATGTACTAACCTGTCTGTGGTTGAGATGACATCTGGGATTTGCTCCAGGAGCGTGGCAGGGCTGTGGGACCAGGCGTGCATGGAGCCATGGGGCTCCAGGGTGGTGGCTCTGGGGGCCAGGCGGGGGCACAGTGTAGCTCACAGTGCAGTACCTGCCTTTCTTCACATTCAGTTTTCCCACAACAAAAACTAAAGCCCTTGGTATGACAAAGGAACTATCCCCAGAACTTTATTGGAGGAGTGATTTTAAAGCAGTAAAAAGATGGAGGGTTTAAAGTTTTAAACTTTACTTTATGAACCCAAATTGTTTTGCAGCCACGAAACACCTGTCTGACTCATGCAAACCACTGAAGAAGCGGAGCCGGGCATCCGCAGCTGCGCCCTCCACACTCGCATTTAGCAAGAGCTCGTCTCCCTCTGCCTCCTTAACCGAGAACGAGGTAAAACACATTCCCACGAAGGCTGTTTACTGAGCCAAGGCCCGGCTCACACAGCGCCATGTAGGCGAGTGTTAGGTTCTCTGAACTGTGAAAGCCATGAAGGGGAAGAAGCCACCATGTTAGTCTGTTTGAGCACACGGCCTGTGTGAGAACGCACGTGGTCATGCTGCAGGGTCGGTGCATTTAGATCCTGAAATCTCTCTGTTCTCCATGTGAAAGGAGGTTGCTTTGTCCTAATGTGACACTGGCGGCTGAGCTGACGCGGTTACTGTGCAGTCACCCGGGGATGAGGCTGGAGCACACACTGCTCTGATTCCTGTGGTTTCTGGACCAAGGCTCAAGGAGGGACATGGCCGTGGGTCTGTGGCTCTTTGATCCTTTAGGTTCTGGTGTGTTCTTGGACAGCTGAGCATTGAGGAAGGTCAGAACCACCATGGCAGTGACGCCTGTTTCCTGGGCTTGCAGAGTGTATGAGGCTGCGGTTGTCATTGTAGTGACATCTAGACGTCACCAGCAGGCCTGGTCTTTGCCATTATGAGAAAAAACAAAAACAGCCTCAAATGCAGATAGGAAACGTTTCTGTGCAGAGGGACTTTGGGATTCCGGCCTCAGTGACTGTCCAGGGAGCTTGTTTCAAATTTACCTTCTTTTGTTCCCCGTGGTTCTTTCTCATTGTAGACGGGTCCTGTTTCTAGAGTATCGATGAGGAGGTAGCCTTGGGCTTTTAGGTACAGGGTAGTGCTGCTGGGAGTGGACAGACCCTCACCCTGTTGGGTCTGAAGGTGGCACTTCTGTTTCTGCAAAGCCCCAGTGGAGCGGGCATTCTGCTCTCTGTCAGCCTCGGTTGCTTCCTCCCACCAGACGAGGGGCAGGCCTTCCATGTGTGAGGTGTCTTCCAGTGGCTGAGGTGCAGAGGGGCCTGAGCCTGCTGCCCAGTCCTCCATGCTGTAAGTACAGAGCAGTCCTCTAGCTCCCAGTGCTCAGAGCGGTGTTGAGCTGCCCGCGTGCGGGTGGGCTTCCTCACAGCCGCAGCTGGTGTGTGTAGGTAATTAGATGTCCTTACATTGGGCACCAGGAATGCAGCAGGAATTCCTCACGGAGTCCCAGGAGCCTATCGAAACATGAGAAGGCACATCCTATACAAGACAGTTTTTCTCCTTTCTTGCCCAAGTTCAGGTCAGTACCTAAACAATTACACTGACAGGTGGCCTGTGGTTCTGAAGAATATGAAAGACAAGTTTTCTGTTCCATAGATCCTTTTGCTTAAGTTGGCTTTTTGTTTAAGATGTTTCGGTGCAGTGCTCAGCTGAGTCTTGTTCACACTCTTGTTGGGTGCAGTTGAGAGGAAAACACAGAGGCTGCTCAGATCTGTCGTTGCCGACCTGAGCCCCGTGTGGACGAGAGTAACTGGCGTGGTGGGTGCAGAGGATGCTCCTGTTAGACAAGCCCAACGGTCTGATGCCCTTGCTCACCAGGCTGAGTCGAATCTTTGTGGCTTAGACATTCGCTCTGACTTGGGGAAGCATTTTACAATCATTAGACTTAGTTGATGGTTAGTTCTTTAGCTTCGGAAATAGATGGATTACCAGGTATATTTGTATCGCATGAGTCACACACTGTCCTGCGTTTGGACATGGTCCATGGCTCTCGTGGTGTCGTTCTGTTCCTCATGTAAAACATGTAAGTCACCAGGCCTTCCCATCAGGTTGTGTGTGTGGCTTATACAGATCTCCCCTCAGTATTTTTACAGAATAACAGTGTTCCTTAAGCCACTTCAGTGAGCAGAAAGGCTCTGTTACGTATCATGTCTCTGAACCGCACACAGTACATGTTTCCAGCATGTGCCATGCTGAATGCCTTTCGGCACAAGGCAACGTGTGGTGTTGCAGCCCCTGCAGACTGCTGGTCCTCCCAATAGGAGCCACAACCGTGGCCATGCTGCCTGGGGCTTCCGACCAGCCCTTACTTGGGCCACATGCCCTTTACCTTGCCCTTGATCCAAATGAGGAACCAGATAGGGTTGGTATTTCAAGACATTTTAGGTCATGTTATGGTTTAAATCCTTCTCGGTAAGGGAGTGTGCGGTAAATAAATTTATATTGGAGTTGTTGCTAGTAGCAGGCCACCCTAGTGAGACCGTGGATTGAGGTGACACTCGCATGACAGCCTGCGAGGGTGATGTGACATAAGTGTTTGTAACTGCATTTCTTATTCCCTCAGTAGAGCAGATTCTCACTTTGTCACCTTCACTGGTAACAGCTTCTATGGGAGCCCACACCAGTCAAGTTGGACTTGAGCTCAGCTGCCCTGTGCTGCACCTGACACGGTGGGGTCTCCCAGGACGCCTGCTGCAGTGGCGTGTCGTCGCACACTCAGTGACACCCTCACAGTCACTCTATGGAAGATTGTGACAGTCCGTTTTTAATGGTATTAATAAACACATACAATGAAGAAAACAGATAACACATTTTAAGACGAAGGTAAGATCCCTGTTCAAGGCCATTTAACAGTCACATTCATCCCATAAGAGATACATGTCCCTAGTCCAGCGGTCACTGTAGGTCTCAGGCTGGAAGGATGCCCGCAGCCAGGCTGTCCTGGGCCGCGACAAGGACACCACACCGAGGGGTCGGTCTTGTCCTCCAGTCCATAACTTACTGGATTTTTATTGGCCAACGTCAGCATCGGAACCTTCCAACAGAGAACAGACGGCACACTGAGAGGCATCCTTGCCAGCTCTCGCCATCGCCAGTGGAGCGTATTCACTGCTGTAGATGCTCAGCTAGTTTCCAGCATTAAAGGCGGGAAGGTTGTGATTCTTTTTTTTACTGAACAGTTTTACTAGGACACTACATGGAGTAAATTTGTAGGAAAAACATCATTTGCAGTGTTGTGAGCCATTGGCCTCCCGACACACTGACGCTGTCCCGGGCCCTGGTGTCATCCCCAGGGTCGCATGTCTGCATGGTGAGGACAAGGCCTCACGTGCCCTCGACTCACGGAGGCAGGAGGGGTGCTCTCCATGCGTGTCAGCAGCACGCGGCTGTTTCCCGCAGACTCTTCTGACGCCTTTTTCGTCTCGTGGGGATTTCTGACTAGCACGTGTGTTCTGAGCCATTACTCAATGTAACGCATGCAAAGCACTCAGGTGCCTGGCACCTCGCAAGGATGCAGCGGTTCGCTTGTGACAATGTGGTTGTAACAATAAAATGATAAAACCACCACCATTCCATTCTTATCCAAAAGCATAAGTGTTCTGTGGGCATGAGAAACGATCCTGAACGTGGGGACAGAGGGAACCCAGACGTGGTGGCTCTGGGCTCGTCAGGGACACTGCAGAGTGTGGGCGGTGGCTGAGGGCTGGACGGTGGCTCTGCTCAGACGGTGGGACCCGTGACCTACGGGTGGTCTGAGCCGTGCGGTTTCTAAAGGAGTGGAAGCTCAGCAGTAATGGACGATTCTCAGAAAGTTAGCCACTGAATTAGGAAATGTAAGGAACTGGTGGCGTAAAAATGGCCCCAGTTCAAGAAATGATCACCGAAGTAAAGACTCGCCTGAAAGGCCTCTGACAGGAACTGAGGGCTTCGTTTGAATCGTAGCTGTGCCAGCCAGCCAGCTGCCAGCGAGTGACTGCGTTCCTCTCCTCACGAAGAAGGAAGGGACCTCAGAGGACTCTGGTGTCCACAGAGCAGCACCGTCCGCCTCCACTGAGGATGTGGGGGCAGGGGGCCCGGGTGGGGGGTGCACTGATTCTCAGCTGGGGGCCGCATCCCCTGGGGACATCGGGAAGGGGAGTGGGCAGGTGGAGGCAGGTGTGTGCAGCACGCTGCAGGGAGGGACAATCACCTCCCAGGACAGATTGTCCCCTCCATTGGCCATGATGGCCTTGCTGGGGAGTGTCCCTGGTAGGCCCCTGCCTTCTGGAGGGGTGAGCGGGGGCTCTGGCCTGAGCTTAGGGACGGGCTGGTGTCCTCTGCGGATTTAGTGGGGGCTCGTCTCATGTCCTAAGGAAGTCACCGCAGCACTGGGCTCGCCCTGAGCCGCCTGAGCTGCCTATTGTCGAGATGTGTTTTCCAGTGATTGCACAGGGTCCTTGTGGGGACGCCATCCACGCATTGCGCACACATGCACAGAGGGGGTGGAGCCCGCAGGAACTCCATGCAGAGCACGTGGCTTTAGCTAGGTCTGTGTTGCAGCTGATCCACGGGCGCAGGCCCTGCCTGGCGCAGAGTAGGCCCCGAAGGAACGGGACCACGCAGGTGGCAGTGGCGGTCTGGCCATGGCTCCACTGCCTGCATGGCTCATGCAGGTCTCCCGAGGGCCTTGCTCGCCCAGGGGTGACACAGGCTGGCTGTCTGCAGTTGTGGGCTGGGGTGCAGGTGTATCTTGGGGCCCTGTAGCGGGTATCCCGCCTGTCTCATCCACTCCTCCCAACTGAAGAGAGCCCAGGGGTGAGAGGATGTTCCCAGAGCCAACAGGACACCCCAGGGCAGTTTCATGCACTGCGGACAGGGGCGTCCCAGCTTTCAGGGGACTAGGGTAGAAGGACGGGGGCTTGGGGACATTAACAGCTGAATTACCCCAGAGGAGGATGGAGAAAGCTGTAAGGCGTGAACCTCAGGAACAGGCGTGGTGCGCCCTTGTCTCAGGCTCTGACCTGCTCACCCGAGGTTGGTGACCACAGGCAGCGAGAGAGGCTAGGCTTGAGGGCAACGCAGGGCCAACGTGTGCCCGACGGTGGGCGACTCATACCTCCCGACAGCCTGTCGTAGAAATGCCCTGAGAAGATAGGACTGTCAATTGGCGTCTAATTCAAAACCCAAAAAAGTGCCCCTGTGCAGGTGTGAGAGAGATGATGCAAACAGATGAGGGGCTCTTGGCCCAAAGACGGGTGGGTGTGGGTGCTGGGTCTGCTGTGGCCAATGGCTGGTCCTGGCATGTTGATCATCAGTGATAGTGTCAGCGTGTGTAAGTGAAGGCCGCCCGCCACGCACCAGGCCGCCGTGAAGGTGGACGCTGGGCCGTCCTGGATGACCACCGCACACCTGTCTGGAAGGTCAGGTGGAGATGGGATCCCAGGAACTCTGGCGAGGCTACCGGTTTCTTTCTCTGGTGATCCTGACAACCCGCTCCTGGCACAGCCCCTTTAAGTCACTACCTCATTCTGGAGGTGGTCTGGCCGCAGAGCCTCCCCACAGGGACCGGCCGGGGCAGCCCTGGCTTAGTGAGACCAGCTGTCTGAGGCCGTGTTTGTCGTTGAGATGACAGAGCTAAACCGGCATCTGCTGCTGAAGAGCTGAAACGTCGCTGCCTTACGGGGAAGGGCCCCATGCTCTGAAGCAGGCACTGGCTTTGAGGTTGTATTCTAAGTGTGCTGAGGCCTCTCTTTCAGGGTTCGGGTCAGTGAGATTGATTTTGATTCGTTAATACTGTTTTTCAGTTTTAGCCAGAATTCCAGAGATCACCGCTAGTTTGCAGTGATGGGGAGTGGACTGTCCTTAGCTGGTGGAAGACGGCCTGTGTCGTACCCCTTGTTGCTGTCTGGTACGGGTGGGCTCCCGGGGGTCTTCCCTGGTGTCCCTCCAGCGGCTCAGGTCAGGCTGGGACCCGGCAGGCCGTATCTTGTTGGATGCCTTTGTAACTAGATGGTTACGTGTTAGATCCACATGCGCAGTTTTTTGTGGCCTACACGTGGTGGTTGGGTTTATTGCATGTAGTGTGTGAGCATGTGTTTTGAAACGAGCTAACTATTGAGACCGAGGTGGTGGTGGGGGCGGCCCGGCCCAGCCTTGGGTGTGCTCAGCCGCACGTGCTGATGGCGGATGGAGGGGGCTTTGTTTCTGTTGTCCAGTCACCCTCCCTGGCCGCTTTCTGCTAAGGACACCCTGGTTGGTAGGGTTGCTTTAGAGACTCGTTGTCTGTGACAAAGGAGCCCTGGTTCTGCAGCCAGGCCACCACGTGGCTCTTGCTGGTACGCCCTGGGGCTCTGGGACCACATAGCAGCTGCCTGGCTCCGAGGTACAGGGGTGACTCACCCAGCCCTGGAAGCTGGGCAGCTGGGGGGGTTCTGGGCCGCATGGTCTCAAGGGGCTGCTTTAGGAAAGATCACTGCGAGTTGTGGCATTCGGGTGATGGGGGACTTGCTTGAAAGTTATTTTAACTCACGACGCCTCACTGTGGTCGCCTGGGAGGCCTGTGTGAGACCAGTCTTCTGACTACGCTGACGAAGCCTGCTGGGCCCAGGTCCCTGTCGCCTGCAAATCCACACGCTGTGTGGAAGAACTGGTCTCCCGCAGAGAAGCATAAACATGGAAGTGGGTACAGAAGTACTTACTGTCTGAGGCCTGTCATTGTGCTTCATGATCGACGTGGTGTCCAACCTGTGAAGGGATTTGTTGTCAAAATAAAACCCACTGTGTGACGCCTTGGGAGGCGGCCCCGGGGCTGCTCTCCAGGCCCAGCGGGGAGGGCCTGCGGGGCTGCGCGTCGCCCCCACGCTGCCTCACTTCTAGGAGCTGGTTCACGCGTGGTCACCTGTCACGGGTGTTGAGGAGGCGGCATTCTGGCCGTTAAGGAACGTTTCTCAGGCCAGTAAGCAAGTTGACACTGTCACAGAGTAGAGCAGAGGAAGGGTTTCAGACCAGGGCACTGAGGTCGGGCGCGGCTTCACGGAGACTGCTTGCCTGGGGAGGCGTGGTGTGCGGGAGGCGGCGGGAAGCCTGGCAGTCTGTCCGCTCGGTCAGTCCTTTCTCCTTTTTCCAAATGGACATCCTGTTGGACATGGAGTAGACCGTAGATGCTGTAGACTGAGACTGGGGACTGTGTTGGGACCATGCGGGTGGCTGTTGCTTTCATAAACGCATCTCCGAGTAGATGCCGTCAGTGCTGCACGCGGAGCCTGTGCCCGGAGTGGGGTGTGCCGCCTGGCGCTGGGCCCGCTGGGGTTTGCAGGCAGAGCCCGTGGACCCCGACTGTGCTAGTTGTGACCTGCTTGCTGGGAGGGTGGGGGCTGGGGGACGGACTGTCGCACTGTCCATGGACTGTGATATTGTAAGGTCTGTGTTCTGTATGTGCCCCTTGGACCCCGACCAGGAAACGAGCTCTGTGTGTCTAACAGTATATTTCTATCCCAAATGTGTATCCAGTGTTTATTTCCTCAAAACAAACTCTGTTAATGTGGGAACTATCTCCAAGTGAAACGTGCTCACTTTCTGTAAATCTTAAATAAAAGGTGCTGTTCCTTCCTCTGACCCAGGACTGGTCTGTGTCTTCTGTCCCTCTCCCATGCATTTTTCTTTCAGCTTTTAGATCGGCTCCAGCCGCGTTGAGGGAGGAACCGGGCTGGTGGGCTGGCACCGGGCTGTCTTCCTTGGAGCCCCCACCAAAGGCCCTCTCTCTGGGTCTGGTGGCTCCTTCAGGCCGGCCTCGGGGCTGCACAGCCACTGCTCCTGCTGCCTGGGTCCCCATGCTCACCAGTCTGCAGTGCTCGGCCCGCTGGGGACCTGTATCTGAAGGACATGAAATTTGGAGTGTGGGCTCAGAGCATCCTTCAGGTTGCCTCTTTCTAGGTGTTCGTGTTAGACACTGAGGGGCTGAGGTGACAGCAGGGGTTGTGGGCCCGGCCGCCCCCTCTGGTCAGCCTCCCGGTGACCCAGCTTTACCATGTGAGACCTGGGATTTAGTGTCTGTCCACACCGCTAGTTCCCTCTCCCCGGAAAAGGTCGCTTTCTCTTCAGACTGTGACTGTGGGGTGTGTCAGACACGAGAGGGTGTCGAGGCTGGAACGGCAGCCACCTGTCCCGCCACAGACCCCGTCAGAGCCAGCAGGCCCCTCCAGACGCCAGCCCGCCGTCCCACGAGCTTTCACGCCAGCACAGCCTGTGTGTGTGGTGGGTTTTCTTCTTCCTTCTGACAAAGTTCCTGGGCGAGGCTGCAGAATTGGGTGGTTGTCTGGTGGGCTGTGTTGTTTTGTTTTTGTTTGTTTTTTACTGTGGCCCTATTTGCATTTCGTGTTTTGTGCTCCTGGGCAAACAGCAAGCCTGTGACACAGCCTTGTGGCTACTGAGTGGACAGGAAGTAGTTCATATGTTTGCTCTGTTGAAAATCCAGTTTTCAACACTTACTGAACAGATAAATACATGACGTGTTTTTAGGGTTTTTTAAAAAAATCTCAAATTGCTGTATGAGACAGTTTTCTATTTAAAGATTGCCTATTGCTGGTGAAGGGAGGGGTGCTGAGTCCAAGACGGGGGAGGGGTGGCCGGTTCTGAAAGACCTGAGTGAGGGCGAGATGGTCAGCCGCCCGGGAGCCTCCCCCCCTCCCGGCCCTGCACTCAGAATCTCGGGTCGCAGGCGGCTCCCACCTGCCCGTCCCGGGGGAAGGCGGCCTGGTCTGCCCTCTGGTGTTCGACATGTTTCTGAGAGGATGTCTCGCTGGCCGGGTGTAGACGAGCAGATCACAGATGAAGGCTCACGTTCTGACTGCACGTGAATTTCTGGTTCTCTCAGAAATTCATTGGGTATTGATATGTTTTTCCTACTTAAAATAGTTGGGCTGTAACCCGTTGGGTAAGAAAGGCCGGATTCTCTGTCCCAGAGCCCATCTTCGGTCACCTACTAGAGCACACTGGGGTTTAGTAACGGTCACTTCATTTTCAAGGGGAATGTTAAACCTCTTCCCGCACATATGTGTGTGTACACGGAGACTGAACGTCAGCCGGAGTGAAGTCCGTTTCCGAATTTCTGCGCAGCTTATCAGCAAGTTGGGTTATCAGAAAGCCAGTTGGTGACTAGCGTTTGCAGAGAAGAGCTGTCCGTGCAGGTGGACGTGGAGAGACCAGTGCGCGTGTGCCACTCGTGTGCGTGTGGACCGGACGGAGCCCAGGCAGGCCTGCCCCCGAGGCTCCCTGCTACTAGTGAACTGTCGTCCGCCTCCCTCATCTGCAGGTCTCGGATGGCCCAGGAGACGAGCCCTTGGAGTCCCCATATGAAAGTGCAGACGAAACGCAGACTGAAGTGTCCATCTCGTCCAAGAAGTCAGAGCGAGGAGTAACTGCCAAAAAGGAGCACGTGTGCCAGGTGAGGGGACAGTGCTCTGCACCCTGCCGCCCTGGCCGGCCAGGGAGTTGGGGCCTGGTCCCAGCTCCGCCTCCTCCCACAGCCCGGCCATGGTCACTGCTGGTTTTTATTCTGAAGGTGTCTGGCACACGCTGGGCTGACGGGCAGGCAGGTCACCAGAGTGCTCTGTGCCCAGCACTGTGAAGGCGTCTGGGGGACTCTTGTGGTCAGCTCCATCCCCTCAGCTGCCTTGGGATGAGCTGGACTCTGGGAGGGTGTGCGAGCCTTTTCCCAGCTTTCCCAGCTCACCTTCCCCTCCCGAGCGTGTCCTTTAGGCTTCTGGTCCTCCTGGTGCCCATTGCTGTTGCCCAGGGTCCCTTTTGCACCCAGTGCCTGGTGTTCAGCTGACACCGGGGTTTCTACTCGGGGTATCTCGGTGTGCATGTCCTGTTCTTGGAGGAGCTGCAGGGAGGGAGGGCTGCGTGGGGCTTCACCCGTGCTTTCTGCTTCCAGCTATGTGAGAAGACTGGCAGTCTCCTGCTCTGCGAGGGCCCCTGCTGCTCGGCCTTCCACCCCGCCTGCCTCGGGCTGTCCCGGCCGCCGGAAGGGAGGTTCACCTGCAACGAGTGCGCCTCAGGCAAGTGCTGTCCCAGCTCAGAAACCGTGGGCAGTGCCCAGGCAGGTGTTTTGTGTGTGTGTGTGTGTGAGTGACGCCCCTCCCAGCCTCTCTCCTCCCTGCACACCGAGGGCTCCGAGCAAACCCACATCAGCTGAGAACAGACCCTTCCCTGCCCCTAGCAGGTGCCCCCCGCCCCTGTGACCCCACAGTTGCTCCCCTCAGTACCTCCCATCAGGTGGTTAGTGTGACAGCTTTCAAAAAAGAGGGTGACTCACAATTACTCTGGTACGAGGTAACCAGCAGAGTGATGTCCTGTGGGCCACGTGAGCCTGGCTCTGTGGGAGGTGGCCGTGGGAGGTGCCACAGTTCGTACAGGCGACCTGGCCAGCTGCAGGAACATAGAGTCCCTGACCGAGCTGCAGTGAGCGCAGCTCCGCGCTGTCCCTGAGCGGCCGCTGCTCTGGTTGGGCTGTGTGGGCTTCACCAGCAGTTGGGGGCTGATGGGAAGTTGGTGGCACAGTGGCCCTTCACTCTTCACCTCCTGTCCTCGCTGGCTCCTGACTCTCTTGAGAACAATCCCTCAGTCAGGAGACACCGGGTCTTCCGGGGAGTCCCCCCAGGTGATGGCATCCACTGGACACCTCACTTCAGGGCACCGGTGCTGTCCATGGTTCTTCACGTGGTCAGCACGTGGTTCATTAACTGCTCTCCGCGGGAGATTGACTGCCTTCCTTCTGCGAGCTCTTACCCTTCCCACTTCTTGCTCACTTGAGGGGGTGCCCACCCGGCTGCCATCACTTCCCTGTCCTCCAGGTGAGGCTGGAGCTCAGGCCGTCGCAGCGGCACCCCGACATAGGACTTTCTGAAGCCGCTGGACGGCTCCCCACGTGGTGGGAAGTAACCGATGCTCTAGCAGCCAGGCTGCCTCCCCGAGCTGCTGGCTTTCATGGCTCAGGGACCCACAGCTCATTCTCGTTCCCATCCCCTCTCTGCCCCTCTCAACCGCTCGTTAGGGGTGCACTCGTGCTTCGTGTGTAAGGAGAGCGCGGTGGACGTGAAGCGCTGTGTCGTGTCGCAGTGTGGAAAGTTTTACCACGAAGCTTGTGTGAGGAAATACTCCCTGACGGTGTTTGAGAGCCGGGGCTTCCGCTGCCCTCTGCACAGCTGCCTGAGCTGCCACGCGTCCAACCCCTCCAGCCCACGCCCCACAAAAGGTACACGCACCAGGAGGGCTGCGGCGCTGGTCCAGCGAGTCACGTGGGTGCCGGGAGGGTGGGCTCGTAGCCGCTGGTGTTGTTCAGAGTAACCGTTTTTTTCTGTTACTGACTCAACACAGGTTGGGTTACTGTTCTCTTTTTTTTTTTTAAATATATCTTTATTGATTTCAGAGAGAGGAAAGGAGAGAGAGAGAGAGAAACATCAATGATGAGAGAACCATTGATCGGCTGCAGCCCACAACCCGGGCATGTGCCCTGACCAGGAATCAAACCCTGATCGCCTGGATCCTAGGTCGACGCTCAACCGCTGAGCCACGCCCGGCTGGGCGGGTTACTGTTCTCTTGACAAAGGACTTGCCTCCCCCACCCCTACCCCTTTGGTCTCCCTTCCTCTGCGAGAAGGGGGGGGCGGGCAGGAAGAGAGAGAGAGAAACATGGATGTGAAAGAGACACAGCGATTGGCTGCCTCCCACATGCAGGGCTGGGGATCGAAACTGCAACGCAGGTACATGCCTTTGACCGGGAGTCGAACCCACAACCCTTCAGTCCGTGGGCCGATGCTCTAACCGCTGAGCACACTGGCCAGGGCTAGAGTATGACGTTTTAAAGGCTTGACCATTTCCTCAAACATTTTTTGAAGAACCATTGTCTTGAGGAAATGTGTTTTCACGACATCTGTTGAATATTCTTACCCTCCTCATCAAAGTTATGTGTTCATCAGATACTCCCAGTGCGTTTCAGCGTTAACTCCCTAACCAGGTGGGCCGGGTTGTCTCGCTGCTGTTTGCTGGGCGGGGGCTTCAGCGTCTCTCCACCTCCAGGTAAAATGATGCGGTGTGTCCGCTGCCCCGTCGCCTATCACGGAGGGGACGCTTGTCTGGCAGCCGGCTGCTTGGTGATCGCCTCCCACAGCATCGTCTGCACAGCCCACTTCACTGCGCGGAAGGGGAAGCGGCACCATGCCCACGTCAATGTGAGCTGGTGCTTCGTGTGCTCCAAAGGTGAGGCTGGGCAGGGCTGCGCGTCCACACGCCTCGAGCACATGCAGCAGGAGCGGCCTGCTGAGGGCAGATGCTGGTGCTCGGCCAGCTGTGTGGTCCCCGTGGTGTTTCCTTGTGCTCACGGGTGGCCCTGCACTGCGACTTTTCTGAGTTAACCATGATCGCGTCACAGATTGTGGGAAGTTGTAAGTGGTGAAATGTAGTTTGCTTGTGTGTCAGCATATAGATCCCTGTTTGTCTGGGAGTCACATGTGTACAGATTCTTGGTCCTAGACGACTGTCTGGGAGTCAGGTGCGTACAGATCCCTGGTCCTAGACGACTGTCTGTCTGGGAGTCAGGTGCGTACAGATCCCTG